CTATAGAGGATGACCTCCAAGAGTTATTTTCATCGGCTTCACATAAACATGTATGAAAAATAACATGTATTAACTTTAATATTTCCTGGTTTTAAACACTATTCAAGTTCGCCTTCTTTCTCCTACGGGAAGTGTTGGCAACGTGGAAATAGTTATTGAGGACTACTTTCAACTTTCCAACAACGTGAGTTAAGAGTCTTCTATGTTCCATCGATGGATGCGAGGATTGGGAATGAACAATACTTTTGGCATCGACCTCGCATTCTTCAATCTATCTAATGGGTTACCACCTTTACAAGGTGACACTCCATTCTGGAACATCCTTCGACCGGACCATATTTCTCAAGTGGTGGATGTGGCATCCAAGGTGTTGCAATACGAGGGCATTATGATAGTCATTCTTCCCCGTTCTTTATTTTGGGGAGGTCTTCTTGCAACGATGGTGGAGAATGATGACTCTAGATTGGTTGAGTTTGCATTAGACTGCCTACTCTCAAACATCCCAGTCGAAACAAAAGGAGCAAGTGGCTGAATCCAAAAGGTTTGCATTTCCTTATTTTTCATATCTTAAATTGATTGCCTCTTTTCCTTGTAGGTTTTAGCATGGAACTACCATGCTCTCTACTGCTACTCTTGCCATCACAGTATTACACGAGTTGATGAGCGTGCAAGTTTGGCATTGCCAGGATATGATAGCTCAACAGATATCATCCCAAATGTCATTAATGAGGACCATCATATAAAGTTCCTTGGTTATCGACACTGTTCACCAAAGGCCATGCAAATCCTCTTAGAGTTGTTTTGTCCTCCTAAGAGGATTATGCTTGATGCTACAACAGGTTTTGGTTTGATGGTGCTAGCGGCTAAAGAGACTGAACATGCAGGTTTTGCACTAGAGAAGGAGAGTGCATTTGAAAGTGTTCTTGGGACATTGCATAACAGGTGATAATAAAGTATAAATTTTTCCTTATAGTAATTCCATCATGGTTGTGTATATTAGGTGGATCAATGATGTGGGTTATAATTTGCCATGTTATGCAGAAGCAATGGCACAAGCTCATACACAGTTAGAGAGCATAATATTATACGAACTCCTTCTTTTGTGGATGTGGATGCCGAGAAAGACTAAGTTTAGTTTTTTTTTTTTAGTCGAATTTTTTAGTGAGTTTCTTCTTTGACTTATGATATTTATTTTCTTATTAGATTTATATTATTTAGCTTTTTCTTGGACTGAAAATATATCTTAAGTTTTGAATAGAATTGTTGGTTCGTCCCGAACCAATCATTTAAACATCAACTTTTGTATTTGGTGGACTATATTGACTTTCATTGACTTTCATTGACTTAAGCTCAGCTCATGAGCTTAGCTCAAAAACTACCCAGCCCTGGCTATGGATAATGCTCAAGACATGGATGACAACACTCTCAATGTTCCAAAAGCTACTAGGGCAACTTTCAATGTTATAGACAACATGGAAACATCAGCCTCAATGTTGGAGAGACAACTTGATCATCATCCATGACCTGAACTTGTTATCCTTCAACACCAACATGATTAGTCTAACCATCTCATCATGCAAACCATTGGAGATGCAGCTCGGGCTGTGGTTTGAAGTGATCATCATATCTTTCATAGTCCCTAACACTTCACTCAACCACCAGATCCTCAAGAGCATCTCAAGCTGAATTCAACACTTTAAAGCTACTTCCTCACAGCAGACAAGAGATCACCACCTTGCCACAAGCTCTAATTTTTCTCACAAGGCCATGCACTTCCACCTTGAACCTTCATACCATCTTGCAGCCACATTACATGGAGAATTAATTTGCTTCAATGTCATCCTAGGCCTCCTCCAGAAATCCTTGAGGCCTTCTGAACTTGCTACAGCAAAGATAGAGTGGTCCCATCTTACACTTACTTGACAACAAAACATTGGCGGATGTGCAACTTTTGCACTAACTTTGATGACACTTTCTTCTCTAGCTTATGAGTAGTGTCATCACTCTCATATAGCCCTAGTACTATGTTAGGATCACAACTTTACATAGAGACAACACAATAAACAAACATATCAAGGTTTGCTTTCGATTTTCAAAATAATTGGGTGCTTCATTTTGCAAATCACTAGAGCTCATATACTTTCTACTTGTGGATGACCTACACCACCACATAATGCCTCTTTGCTAGTCTTTTTCATACTTTCAGCCAAGTAGTCAACTTCATATGCATGTGATGCTTATTATGTGTGGCGATTTTGCAGCCGCATTGCATGGAGAACCTGGCATCTTAGGCCTCCTCTAGAACTCCTTGAAACCTCTTGAACTTGCTCTAGCAAAGACGGAATGGTCCCAGCTTGGCCATCTAATATATAGTTAAGCATAATAAATATTGATTATTTCTTCCCTAATGATTAGCTACAAACACAAACAAAGAAATTGGATTAAAATACTTCTGGTAAATGTGGTAGTTGTTGGGAAGATCCAAATAAAACTGACAATGATATGGCAAGTTATATATAATACTAAGAATGAATAGCTATGCTGTGAGGAGTAGCTTTTGCACTCTAAGATTGCTTATATATTTTGACTTCTCTATGATCAAATTTTTCTTAACTGGTTTTTTTCTTTCTCCTTCCCCACAATGCAACAATAGCAATCCACCTCTCGCATGGAAGCTAGGAACTTGGTGGCATTGCTTTAAAATATGGGATTGCCTTCCAATTTGTCTTGTGAGATAGCATCATAAAGTTTGAGCATTTTCAACCACATGGCTGTTCCATTGTCTCAACAACAGACCCAAGAATACCAGCATAGTCTGAGCGCTTCACCATTCCTGCCACTCTGTATTCGCCAGGATTTCTGGTGTTTGCAACATCCAAAGCCAGCTTCTCGTGCTTCCAGAAACTTCTCAAGCGTGAAAATGCGATAAGAGCTCCTTACAATCAATCCCATGGCCACACATGGGCATCAAACGGCTTTGTCACGGCCCATCTGATCGAAATTACCATATTTCTATTTTCATAGTAGTGACCAACGATGTGTGCTTTGTGTGTGTAATTGCTTATTTCCTATGCTTGTGCTGGCTCAACCAGCAATACCTCACAAGGTTGACAAGCGTGAGGATGACAACAATCCCCACAAAAGACGCAAGGAGCACCCTGGACAGAGTCTTCATATTCCTGCCGCGAAGGTTGTAGTTGCACGAGAGGACAAAGAGCGCACATCCATGGCCGTCCACCCTGAAAGATATGGAGTGCGTCTCTTCCACCCTCTTGCCACTCCATACTTCCTCGCCCAGGCACCGCCATCTCGTTTTGTTGTGCGCGTTGAAGATCACCGAGCTGCTGTTCGCTACCGCCAGGGACGTGTAGAACTCGTCCAGGAGCTCCTCGAGCGTGATGGACATTTGGGTCTTCTTCGGGCTAGCATTGAAGAAGGCAACATAGACCTCTCCTGGAAGTCCAAAGTTTCTTGTTTGGTAGAAACCGAAAAAAAAACGAGTAGTAAGTACCTGAGTGCCCGTAGGAAACCCATATCCGTGTCAAATCGTCCTCGCTCACACTGATCGCGCATCTTCCCAGGTGATCGTTCACAAGATCGCCGGATGGTGTGAGCTTCCATGTCTGTGCAGCTTTAAGTTATGAAAATTTGGTTTTGGAACTGCTTGCAAGCTCGTTACCTGGCTAGGATGGTCGCGACAAGGTGAAAAGTGCTCGCTTCGATTTTTCCCATGACTCCCCTTGGCATCAAGGCATGTCTTGTTGGTGTCAAAAACTCGACCAAGGTTGTGGCCGGTGTTCGTCCTGACTTCAACAAGCGTAAGGTTGATGGCCACAGTATGATTTGAGAGACTTTACCTGTTGGCGTGTGGTATCCACTTGTAGCAGCCTTCAGAGTTGTTCTTTCGTCTCCAGCATATTTGAGAACTATTGTGTGAGGTGTTCCATCTGGTATGATTCGAGCCACCACATTCAGCTACTTTGATTGTGTCAGTTGCAAATCGCAATATCTGGCAAATGAGAAAGCGTTGGTCAGAAGCTTTTGCGAACCAAAATTGTACCTCTGTATTTCCAAAGCTATTCGAGTTAATTTCAAGAACAGTGGGATTCGTAAGAACATCAAGTGTTGTTTGGTCTAGGTGCCGCATATCCCCACCAAACATCAACGGAGATCTTGCCATGCCCCACAGCGTCATCTACAACACGACAAAACAATACTCTTATAAGCAATACGTAAAAGTAATCAAAGGTATCACCTGTGTTTTCATTTCCGAATCGGTAAGTCTTGATGACCGATAAGGTCCATTATCTGTGTCTAAAGACTGTCGAGATTTAGAAAAAACAAAAGTAGAAACAAAGAAACGAACCTCCATCGGTGAGCCAGCCAAAAGGAAGAACATCCAGGTCTGGCCACGAACGACCACCACCGAGACCACTCGCTCCAACAAGGCCAGAAGCCGCAAAATCCCTGTTTTCAACTAGAAAAATTAGCGATACTCCTGAAGTTCCACAGCTCTACCTCGCGATGTTAAAGGCCGGTTCCAACTCCACCCATGTATCCCAAATATGTGCTGACACACGATACAAGTTGGTCATGTTGGCTATCGCAGCAGCCATGACAGGCGTTGCGTTTTCGCCGGGTGCAATTGAGTAAACAATCTGACGACCGGTATGAAGGATAGCCTGCACCAATGCACCAAAGACTCTTGCCTGTTATTTTTTTCCACCAAAAGTATGCAACATCTACCTCAGATACAGCCACGAGCTCTTCCAAATGGAGGTCCCTTTCCCCAAAAGCGCAGTCGTGCTTAACTGCCATGCATCGGTTAGTTCTTCCAAGCCAGCTGAACAAGACGAACTTACAAGCCTTAGCTTTAGTTTGTGAATCAGTGTGAAGGGAAATCGTGTGTACTGAAATCGACGCCCCACTCAGCATACTGCCTGTATAGTGACTTGAGATAGAGTCGCCCACCATAGGAGCTTACGTTCACTCCCATGAAACTATCGGGCATGAACGAGCAATCCTGTCCCACGACCGCGATGTCGCGGGCTTTCCATTTGTATGGACTCCGACTGCCCTGTTTGGATGGATCTTAGAACAATCACTGAACTGGAAAGAAGCCATACCTGTGATCCATAGATTGGAGTGTTTAGCTCGACAGCAGCTTTGTGGATGCCACGAATGACCGAGATTCCAAACTTGAGACCCAGCTGATGGACGCGATCGGCAACTTCTCGAAATCCCTGGCCATTTCTCGACGAAGGCCAGCGGTCTGGATCGGGCAAAGGCCGGCCATACGCGTCCAGTGTGTCAGTGCCACTCGTGAAAGACGAGACACCGGGTTCCACCTTCCGGAACCAGAGATTATCCACGATAACGTACTGCCGAGCGCGACAATCTTAGCTCCAGCGACACTATCCATGGCGAAATCTTACCTCGTAGCCGAAATTCCTGAGATACTTCGACACGAGCTCTGCATTCTCCAAGAAATCTTCCTCGGAGACGGACCAGGAGTAAGAATCGAAGGAATTCCAGCCCCGAGGAGGGGTGAGCGCTCGTCCATTGTCGCCAAAGACACTGCATTGGATCGCATTTCTACCAGACATCCAAACAGGGGAAGATCTTACTTGTTAACATCGGCTCTGATCAAGCAAGTCATCGCGAGAAAGAAGAACGTCGACGCGAGCTCCACCGCCATCGCCATGGAACCCTAGCTTAGTCTACAGCCTATCAAACTGTAAAGAAAAACAAACCAATGGCGGGGAAGAGATCCTGGGCGCTCATCTAGAATAAAATTTCGAAATTTTGGGGGAGATTAGCTATTATACAAACGAGAAGAGCGAGCTCCCTCTTTTTTGTTTTGAATCTCTACTTAGACTTCTCGGCCTTGGGGCTCTTCTCGGCAGATCCAGCGCCGGAGGAAGATTTCTTGGGCAAGAGCACGCCGTGAATGTGTGGAATCACGCCTCCATGCGCGATCGTCACGCCTTGCAGGAGCTTCCCCAATTCGTCGTCGTTCCTCACGGCGAGCTGGATGTGTCTGGGGATTATCCTCGTCTTCTTGTTGTCCCTGGCGGCATTGCCAGCCAGCTCGAGAACCTAGCGAGTCGAAATATAGGTAAGAGTCGAGAACGAGAGAGAAGAGGAAACAAACCTCCGCAGCAAGATACTCGAGAACCGCGGCGAGATAGACTGGCGCTCCACTGCCGACGCGCTTGGCATACCTCCCATTCTTGAGGTAGCGCGCTAATCTCCCCACCGGGAACTGCAAGCCCGCCCTCGCGGACTTTGAGACGCTCTTCTTCTTGCCCTTGCGCCCTCCCGCCCCGGACATTTTCGATCGATTCCCGGGATGCCCTAGAGGCGCTAGAAAGCACTCCAGCTATTTAAACACCACCTCCCAAAACTTCAAATTTGAGCCAATCGGGTGTGAGGGCCCGGATCCCCATCGGACGGCCGAGAGCACCCCGCCATCCGACGGCCAGATTCCGCCGCCATAGAAACCATTTATTTTGTTTTTTAACAAAAAAGCGCGAATCAACCCTACACGACGAGGGAATCTGTCAAGATCCTCCCAGGGACGACTCTTTCTCGAGAAAGGCGCACAGCTGCTCCATCACCTGGCGCCCTTTGGCGCTGTTTTGCTGGAATTTCTCGATGCAGCGCTGCTCGATCTTCTCCGCCAGCGACGCCAGCGCCGAGAGCGTGGAGCAGCGGATGTTCATCTCCTGGCGGAAGAGCGTCCAATCGGGGTTTTGGGGGTGGGGCGAGCACCAGCACTTCTCCTCCACCTCCACGAAATCCTTGAGCGTCACATTACGCGTCACGATCTGCATTGTCCGCGCCGCCGCGTCCACGCTCGATCGCTCGATGCAGTGGCACACCCTATCGCCGATGATCCGCTGGAGCCACCAGGGGCACGGCGCGTTCACCGACACTAACCTAGTGCTCTCCAGCACGCCCGTGGCGCCGTCCACGCGACGCGCGATCGTGTCCACGCTCAGGACGTGGGAGAGCTGAGGCTTGTTGTCCAAATCCTGGTACTTGCGCCATGTCGCCGCCGTCACGCGATCCCACGGATGCTTGTACACATGCTCTTGCTTGTATCCGCGCACCATTCCCCTGCCCTAGCCAAAACCCTAGCCAAGATTCCAAACTTCTGGCAAGAATCTTGTGAATATTCACGTGAATCTTCAAAAGATTCCATCGTCATTCCGGGATCTTGAGCGAGTTGGCGAGTGAGCCCAGCATGCTTTCCAAGGCCTTGTAGTCTTCCGAGTCTTTGAAATCGTCGGCCTGGGCACGAACGCAAAAGAGAGTGAGCTTTTCGCCGGGAAACGAAGTAGTACCTGTTTGAGCGTGTTTGTGAGATGCCTTTGCGCGGCTGCTAGCTCCTTTTTACCACCGATCGCTATGTACTCCTGGCACAGTCCGAGTGAGGCGGCGGCGAAAGCTCGGAAGCGGGCTTCATCGTGTTGCCAGTTTGATCCCTGTTTAAGCAGTGCGATTTGTGAGGGCTGGACGATGGTTTGGAGATTTCTCTACCTGGTATGCTCGGACTTGTCTCAAGAAGGCGTTGGTTGATGCCTGTCGGTCGCCGAGAACTTTGTGCCATCGTGCCTTTACGCCCCAGACATCTCCCCCGTAATTGCCACTCGAGGCCATCTGTATGACAAAAAAGAACAAGGAGTTAGCTCACAAGCATTTGTGGATCTACCTTTGATATCAGCTCTCCAAGCATCTCTATTAGCCGTTTTCTCTCGTGATCAGTCATGCCTTCGGCAGGAGTTTCACTTGTAAAGAGTTGTTTTTCTTCGAACACGTCAATGATTCTTGCTAGCAAGCCTGTGTCAACATTTCTGGGTGACAGCTCGAAAACCTGTCGTACTGCGGGTATTGCCTGAGAGATTGCATAGAATTAGTTAAGAAAAACGCAAGTGGTGAGGAATACCTGCGCAAAATTGCCGAGACTAACAAGGACGTGTGCGTAGTTATCCCACAGCTCCCAGGAGTTCCGCCTACATCAATCAAATTAGAAATACATGGACATAGGCAGGAAAAAGGACCCACTTGAACTGCACTGCTTGTTGGAATGCGGTGCTTGCTTCTTTCAGATTTTCCTTGCGCATGTTTCTGTAAGAACACAAGCGACTTTATATTAAAGAGAAAAAAGTTTTACTTACAATGCGGCAATGTTATTGAAAGCTTCTCCATGTTCCGGATCAAGCTGTATTGTCCGCACAAATGCATGTAAGGCCTGGTCATATTTTTTACACTGAAAAACCAGAACTCAGTTAAGAAAATACAGGTTCTAGACGGTTACCTTTAATGCACAAAACCCCGCAGAGAACCAGCCGTCGGAGTACAACGGGTTCAGTGAAAGTGCCAGATCCCTGTTAGTGACCTCGTTAACACTGTACTAGCATCACCAGAAGTGCATACCAGTGTTTTACCGCCTCCTCATACTCTTTCCTATTCATCGCAGAACGAGCGAGAAAACGCTGTACACCAAGCGCATTAAACAAAGAAAAGCAAAAAAAAAAGAGTTTTTACCTGTGCAACTGCATATCTCTGCCCAGAAACTTCCCAAGACTTCAAAAAGCATGCGTCGTCATTAGTGGCGTCTCCTAGAGAACACCTGCACAAGTGATCTTAGGACTACAAGAAAAAGACAGCACAAATACTTACCACAGCCTTGGGTCATTCGGTGATATCTCAAGACGCTCCTTGATAAGACTTACTCCTCTTGCTTTGTCTCCGAGCAAACTGAAACGATCCTGTAAAGTTGCATTCCACTGACACGAAGAACGAACCGATAGCAGTCAATAACGCTCTGCCACAACTCGAGTTTCTCAAAAAGGCTGAGAGCCTCTCCGATATTACCAATGCTAACCAACGTGTTAGCATACTGCCTATACCAAATCAAAATCAGACCTTTAGTACGAGAGAAACAGGGAAAACATACCTGAGAAGAGCTTGAAGACAAGGAGATGAGACGCAGAACAAAAGTTCCATTCTTTCAGATGGATTACATGAGCCATCCCGGATGCTTGACACCTACGAGTTGAATTAGTTTTAGGAACAACTCCCTAACTAGACTTACAATGTCGTCCATAGTCTGAAATGCTCTCTCGCATGTAGGACCGCGTGATTTTTCCCACTCTACACGGAGGAGTTTACAACAGGTCTTGACCTGAAAAGACAAAACACTTAGATGAGCGCGATTGCAAAAAACCTGTATGGTACCATAAAAGGCGAGGCTTGCTGAGCGTCGACAGCTTCTATAAACGGCGCCATTTCCCAGTCTGATATAAAGACAGCTATAGCTCAAACCATGAAACAAAAATCCCTTTACCTCTTAATTCATTTTCAGCATTTTTCTTCTTCACATCCAAGCAACGAGCAAGAATTAGAACCTGGTGTATTGGACTAAGAGCCTTCTGGTGCAGGAACTCAATGTTTGAGCTTTCCAGCCTTGGATATAACAGTACGTCACCTTGTTCAGCAGGTTTATCAACCCTCTCAAGGACGTGAAGGTTCGATTCATCTTTCAGAACCATCTGCGCAGTCGGATCACTCTGCACACTCGGTCGAACAAGAATTTCAAACTAGGGAAAGAAAAGTATTTCAACGTCTTACTTGGTATTGCCTACGAAATCCCATTGCACCTTCGACGGAGTACACCAATCCAGCAGTTTTTTCTGCTTGAGTAACGAAAAGTCTGCACCAGATAAGTCAATTAGAGCAATAGATAAAAGAAACAGTAATACACACCGTCCTTCGTCCGCATGACCATAATAATACTCCACCAAAGCAGCTTCTGTGAAAGCCATTGTAGCAATTGCGTTTTCTTCTTCCAGAGAAACAAGGCTGTACCACCCGCAGCAATCTTTCAGAAACTTAGTGCCAAAACACTTGACAACTGCCGCATAGCCACTAGCAACATCTTTCAAAAGAGTAGGAGACCTTTCCTCCAGTGACTTCTGCTGGCAAAATAAAGCCCGCGCGATCCACCACACCCGTGTCGCTGGCTCCTTGATATTTTTGATAGCCTCAAACATAACCTTTGCAACAACAAGGTACTGAGAGAAGAAGGAGAGCATACGTAAGCGACAATTCAGAAAGAAAAGAGTTACCTGAGGACAATTGCACTTTCCCTGGAGATCGCACCCGTCCACCATAAGTTCGCTACGAGCCCAAGTATCCCAGCTTTGCTCTGAGGCTGCAATCCAAGGTTCCATCTTCGAGATAGCATCGAGAGGGAAAGCTGGAACGTCAAGCTCCGGCCTTGAAGAACACAAACTTAACAAGAAGGAAAGAAAAATCGTTGATAGAGAACTTACCCTGTGAAGTTGGACTGTAAGAAAACGCAGAAGAACGAAACCCCTGCAGCCATTACCAGCATTGACGCAGCTTCATTTGCTTCTTTCTCCACGAAACTCCGCACATTTCTAGAAATCTTGTCGTAGAAGATCCTCCCAGAAACACTAGGATCATAGCTGACATCGCCGAAGATCTCACGCATAACCTCCATTGCTGCCACTCGAGAATACAAGCCCTGCTCTATGAAATCCACCGCTTGCAGTAGCGATGATTCGACGTCTGTGCTGGCGCGTACCGGATCGATCGGAGCCGCATTGATTCGCAGCGCGCAGCGGAGAAGACGCAGCTCACAGGATTCGCTTACCGCCATCGCGCCGAGCGCAAAATCCCTAAACCCCTGCAGAGCTGGTTTTTTAGGGCTTTTGGAAAATGTGGGTTTCTTTGCGTAAGAAATCCTGGATTGCGAGTGGTAGGATAAGGCGCGGATGAGGTACTGCTGCTATACGATGATCGTAATCTCGCCAGAATGATCCGCGATTCCAGTGCTGCTCATGCAGTAGCACGAATCCATGCCGCGCCATCGACATCCTCACAGCAAATTTGCCAGATTCCACTTCCCAGCACTGCTCCATTGCAAATCCCTGCGCTCCTCCGCAATCTAAGCTTCTCCCATTCGCGATCACACAAGCGCGCGCCGGGATCTTGCGTGTTGGCCACAAATGCTGCCGCTGCTAGTGCTGGCGTCTTTCCAGGGGGGACGAGGAGAGCGTCTGTGAGGCTTCCAGGACTAGGATTGAGGCTCAAGGCGGAGGATATTTTGGAGGATGGCGAGGAGAAGAAGGCAGTGCTCGACTCGGCGGTGGCAGCCGGATTAAATCTGGTAATTCTCGAGGATGGAAAGGAAGATAGCTTGAGATTCTACGATGCTGCGCGAATTGTCATGTCCATCGTTAGAGGAAGAGCGGATGTTTTGATCGTGGAGAGGGTGGACATTGCTGCTGCTGCTGGATCAAATGGTGTGGTTTTGTCAGATCAAGGTAGGAAAAGGCCTTCTCTTCTTTAAGTTTACGTACTCAGAGAGTTCTTTGTCCTCCTTTGTTTGAGCAGGCCTTCCTTCCGTGGTTGCGAGAAGGATGATGCAAAACGCAATGCCTGAGGCTGTGGTGCTTCCGCTGGTTGCAAGAAGAGTCACCTCTTATCAGTCCGCCGAGATTGCAACGATCACGGAAGGAGCAGATTTTTTGCTGCTACAATGCGAGCAAGCATCGTCAGCCAGTGCTAAAGCTCTAGTGGAAGGCATTTGCAAGCGGGTGAAGATTCCTGTGTTTTTGGAGTGGGCTCGTCAAGAAGAGGATGCTGTGAAACTTCTCAAAGTTGGTGCCGGTGGGATTATACTCGACTCTTTGCCAGCGGCCGCCGAAGTTTCGAGTTTCGTTACAGACCTTGCTTCAAAAGTTGCGTCATCGGTCTATACTAAATCCGGGAAAGGATTGAGCTTGAATGGCGAAGGTGCTAAATCCTCGTCGACTGCAGCAGCGGCTGTTTTGAGCTCGATAGAGCAACAAGCGAAGCTTCTCATCGAAGAGGAGCGGCCTATACTTACATCTGCTGTTGAGATCATCAAAGAGGCGTCACCACAGGTACAATACCGAACATTTTCTTGAGTTTTCTAATTGTACTTTCATTACAGATGGAGGAAGTAGGCTTGCTCGTTGATGCGGTCAAGCAGCTAGAAGAACTTTTTCTGCTGGTTGTAGTGGTGAGAGAACGTCACTTTCTTTTTTTGTTACAATCTGACCTCTGTTTTCTTCTAAAGTGTAGGGTGAGTTCAACTCTGGAAAATCTTCAGTCATCAA